ACCTTATACATAGACATTCTACACTATGAAGTGGCAAGTCTGAAAATGCCGTAGATTTCGAGAAATCAGTCTCATTGTGCGAATAGCCAGCGGCCTGAAGAAGAGAGCGAAAGCCATTACCGGAATCTTTGCGCTGGTAGCGGTCACTGGATTACTGGTTACAAACATTCAGATCACGCAACAATATCTCTCCGACAGTCAGGGTCAGCTGACACCATGCAAACTACATTTTTTCATTCATTTTTGCTACGCATCTACTGCCTGCGCCAGGCGCCATGCCTACGAACTTCAACCACATCAGGGGAAGTTGCGTTCATGATCGTGCAATTATCAAGCACAAACGGATATTTTACTCTTCACGCTGCACAAAACAAATAGGCATGCAACTCTTCCAAAAGCACACTCAGGCGCCCAGGACTGGAAGTCAACGGAGATCTACAAGTTTCGGCGGACAACTACGAAGCACGTTTAGCAGTTATACAGCAGAGAAGACACATCAAGCGCCCGGGACTTCGGTCAGGAACTCTCAAAGTTTGTCCTAAAACGACACGTAACTTTTCGGTTTATTCTCTCCTTAATTTGACTTTTGGTTAATCAAGTACACACGACACTTCTGAGGATCGTCATTCCGGTAAAACAGGTGTGTTCGTCAGTGTTCGTCACCTAATAATCGACCTAGGTACGTTACAAAGATATCACAATGACGCTTAGCTCTGGAAGCGTAAATGTGCCTCAATACTAAAGCACTATGACGCTGACTTCCCTGCCGCAACAGAAAATCTATACTTAGTTTTATCGGCCGTTTTTGGAGTGTAAAGGTCTGCCTTCAAATTTATCGCCAAAGGCCGCATCGCTTTCAGCAAAAGGGCAACGCCGATTCAAGCCACTCCCGAAATTGGCCTTCAAGTTACACATAGATTCGCCGCAGCTGCAATGCTGCCAGACACGTCGGTGACTAGTAGTCTCAGCACCTGAACCACTTATAGTATTAACGTTAGATGATGATTACGGAACTATTTACCACAGTATTTTCAAAGATGAACACTCCCACCCCCTGCCGTTGACTCACCCAACAGGACGTTAGGATATGAACCGGTCAACACAAGTAGGATAACTCTGCTAAACAGAGCCGCAGTAGCCTTCAGTCACCCGTCTTATTCCTCCATGTTGGTCTTATTGAGCAGCGCGAGGTATTTGACGGCGATGACGTTAGCTGGTGCCTAAAATATTTCGTGAACTCAGGTCAAGAAGCTGTTTTGTCTGATCCGGTGACATCAAGCCAGGTGGTCAGCATACCGAAGTGCTTCACTTTTTTGGTCACTTGATAAAAGGAAATACTGGAAATCATGCGTCTTGTTGAGTGTGCTACCTGTGATGATATCAAAATAGACCGTACCAGCATACTCCGGGTGCAGTGTGCGCCTTTGCTATGCGCCCCTTAAGTGGCCTGTGATAAAAGGCGCACCAAACATGTTTGGTTATTTATTTAAATTGACCCTCCTGACCCATGATGCGCAAGGTTCCAGTATCTCTCTGGCCTAATGTCTACACTATCGAATTAAAGGGCAAATGATTATTACAAAAAGCAAGATTTTAAGAGAGCAGAAAAATTCAGAAGAAACATTCCATCGACTTATACCTATTTATCCGCCTAAGAAAACCGGTGAAAACTAGCGGAAACAAAATATTTTCAACTACTAGGTATCCAGAAACCTCACCTGTAGCAGAACGCCAACAGCAAAGCCATGAGTATTCAGTGATGGATTTATCGTCCCCAAATACCTGTAGGTTGATTAAACAGTTACTCCCATTCAGTTCGCACAACACCTGCATATGAACACGTAAGGGAGAGAGCTGTACTTCAAAGCTACATTCGTACCATATATAGTGAGCTGGACTACGAGAAGGTTGCGCAACTTCGATGACTGGACGATTTCGTTTTGTGCTACATCGAACAAGACTGGCATTGCACGATTACTTGATGGGCGCTGGAATTGAATATACGCGAAAGCTAATAACGGTACTGTATGACAGTGGAGCGGTCCTTGAGGTGCGTATGTTCGCCACCAGAACACTGTGCTATCAATCAGAATGGAACTTGTATTACGAACGTCGGATGTTATCATTCAGTGGTAATTGGAGGTCAACATGTGACTGAGACTTTTGGTTGTTTTCAAAATGATTCGATGCATCTACTCTTGACTTGCAAAATCAATCAAAATCCAAAAATAAAAATAAGATGTTGCACAAAACGGGATTTCTGTAACAAACATCTTCCCCTGGATAGACTCGCTAGTAAGTTCGGTACAGGTACCTGAATTTTTCGACAACGTGTTTGTTTCTGGAAATAATTCGTATAGTTTATGTTATTGAATCGATATCTTACCGGTCAAATGAATGATAGGCGGTTGATCACGCTGTAGTTTCCAGCTTATAACGTTTGAAGTATCTCGTCGGACATGCGCCATTGTATGTCATTCGAAACTTCTTTTTCGATTATACCTAGTGGTTCCGCCCACGTTCTTAGCAATGCAATTCGCGTTGCATGCTATGCAAAATATGAAAATTTTGTTTCAGCATTCCTGTCGGAACGACACCAACATATTTATGGGACAGTCTATGTCATGGGACAGAAATTATGCGGCACTGAAAGATAATTAATTAAATGAGCAAATTTCTTCACATCATAGGTGACCGATCAAATATTAGACAACCTGATGGACAGAACCGCGGCTGGAATGCGAAAATAAATGTTCGAGTTCTGATGGTGGATGCAACCCGAAAAATTCCTTCTGAAAACGTTCGGGTGTGCGATGTTGCAATGGAGCCAAAACAAATTCCACCTTTAGTGGGGTTCCTTCGGAGCATGGCATTTCACTTTGTAAAAATGAACGTTCATTTAGCAAGATATTTTTTCGTTGTTTGGTGCAGGAGGTGACCTGGTCAATGTCAGCTCTATCCTGCAAATCCACCGCACTGGATTTATAGGTCGGAACAAGCAGCTCTCACATTTCAATGGAAAGGACCATCACCTGATGAAACAGATACTCAAATGCTGCATTGTACTAAGGAGATATGCTGTCACAGGAGATGACCACGTCCGTTTACGATACTTTCCAATGAGACTTTACCGTGCAGAAACGCAAAATGAGGACCTTCCATGTAGTTATGGATTGATTATATGGTACCCCTTGTTTGAGTCGCCCCCATAGCGCGTAAATATTTCCAGCTAAAGATGAAACTTAACGCAGCGATAAAAATCTGGCTCAAACGCAACCGTTTGCAGACAAGATTGTATGGATCGACGTGTATTTATTTGTCAATTTTCGCATAATTCCGACACCATTCTGACGGCTAATTTATGCAAAGCAGTAGAGACAGAAAATAACTCAGGCATCCCATGCCTCAGAATCAAGTGCATGGATTTAACCTCCCCAGCTCTCCGGCACGCAAAACTACTCCTAACTGCCTATAATTGATGTATTCGTGGATCTTTGGAAGTCCGAACTTTCAGTTATCCTTAGGTAGTTGACTTTAACCTTGTTTTGGTAGGTGTCAGTGTAAAGACGCTAAAGCTTGTTGGTTTTGAGGTGGAGTTTGTCGTCATTCTGCTCGGTAGCTTTCATTCCTGTTGGATTTGATCAGAATCTGCCTGGCTGGCAACCCATCGTGAAGTCATCAGAGGAAAGTAGATGTGGTGAACTAGTTAACTGAGGCATCTCATCGACACACAGATCAACTAGTAGTGAACTGGGTATTGTGGTACGCTACTTCACAGCCGTACGGTAATATAGATGTCATTGAAGTTTGATTTGTACTACCCGCTACCCCAGATGGGGTAAATTCTTGATGCCACAATGGAGAAAAAAATTGAAAATAAGTGATTATACCCCTTGAGACGTTTATGCTCACTGGGTTTATTACACCTTTATATTGTTTGATACCGGTTCTTCTATAGAAAATCCCTTGCACAAAGCCAAACGGTCGTTTTTCGCAGCGTAGTCTTTGACAGATGAAGAAGGCAATTTGCCAGCAGCAGTTTGATTCATTTGTTGTCAGAAACCAAAGCAGAATTGAATTATGAAAAATACTTAGTCTGATACACCGTTATTAGACGTTATAACCGCCATGTTTGCATTTGAGTATCAACTTTCAGCAAACCGTGACCTAATGTAAATAGCTATCTTTCGAGTATAATAGGGTGAAAAAAGCTCGGTACCTGTACTATGGGCTGCGTCTCTAATGGCAAATACTTTTATCTGAAATAAAGAATTGTTGAAACTCTTTACTAGTTGCTTTTAAAAGTGATGCTTCCACTTAGGTTTACAGCTTACTTGGTGCTCCCAGAATCATTGAATATTCCTTATTTCGCGAATGTTCATCCCAACAGACTTTTTGGTGCACACTTTACAGTAGTTTTAGAGACATCCCAGACTTTTTGAAAAGTAAGAGGAATGACACTGGTGCTGATTAATAAACGTTACACACATGTCCCACACAGGGTCATAGAGAGAATTTTCAATATGACAATGTCACTTGGTATCACAAACTTTTGAGTGCGTTACCCCGGGAGATACAAACGTAAAACTACCTATCGTTTATTCGGAGACAGTGCCACCGTACGTTAGGCACTCGTTTGCTATCCCCGGAAAGACTCAAACATACTCAAGCGTAAAATAAGAATCTACTTTAGATCATCGGAATATACGGAGTGAACCCGCATCTCTGTGTGTAAATGATGTGATTGGGAGATCGCCATTGGAAAAATATTGTTTTAGGGAGCTACATTTTAGTGTGAATAACGCCAAAAAACTTTGTTTTCTATCTGTAATTCTTATTTACCTTCTTTGTTTTGGACCGGTGATGATCATTTCATTTGTGTGTAAGCTGCCTACAGACAGGCACCCCATAAACGTGGTCTTTCTGGCCTCTTTGTGGAAAGTATCATGTGCAGCATTGGATACCGAGAAAGAAATGTCTGGTGTGAGGGAAGACGCAGTAAGAACTTCTTGGCTTGTTCAGTGCACCACAAATCAGAGAAATTTTTACTTATCGTGAAATCATTTGACTTCTTGTTTAGGTTAATCTATTCTGGTATACTTTCCAATCGTCTGTTTGATGCTGTTCTTAAGAAAGCCTGTTATTGCTATACCCCTTGAGACGTTTATGCTCACTGGGTTTATTACACCTTTATATTGTTTGATACCGGTTCTTCTATAGAAAATCCCTTGCACAAAGCCAAACGGTCGTTTTTCGCAGCGTAGTCTTTGACAGATGAAGAAGGCAATTTGCCAGCAGCAGTTTGATTCATTTGTTGTCAGAAACCAAAGCAGAATTGAATTATGAAAAATACTTAGTCTGATACACCGTTATTAGACGTTATAACCGCCATGTTTGCATTTGAGTATCAACTTTCAGCAAACCGTGACCTAATGTAAATAGCTATCTTTCGAGTATAATAAGGTGAAAAAAGCTCGGTACCTGTACTATGGGCTGCGTCTCTAATGGCAAATACTTTTATCTGAAATAAAGAATTGTTGAAACTCTTTACTAGTTGCTTTTAAAAGTGATGCTTCCACTTAGGTTTACAGCTTACTTGGTGCTCCCAGAATCATTGAATATTCCTTATTTCGCGAATGTTCATCCCAACAGACTTTTTGGTGCACACTTTACAGTAGTTTTAGAGACATCCCAGACTTTTTGAAAAGTAAGAGGAATGACACTGGTGCTGATTAATAAACGTTACACACATGTCCCACACAGGGTCATAGAGAGAATTTTCAATATGACAATGTCACTTGGTATCACAAACTTTTGAGTGCGTTACCCCGGGAGATACAAACGTAAAACTACCTATCGTTTATTCGGAGACAGTGCCACCGTACGTTAGGCACTCGTTTGCTATCCCCGGAAAGACTCAAACATACTCAAGCGTAAAATAAGAATCTACTTTAGATCATCGGAATATACGGAGTGAACCCGCATCTCTGTGTGTAAATGATGTGATTGGGAGATCGCCATTGGAAAAATATTGTTTTAGGGAGCTACATTTTAGTGTGAATAACGCCAAAAAACTTTGTTTTCTATCTGTAATTCTTATTTACCTTCTTTGTTTTGGACCGGTGATGATCATTTCATTTGTGTGTAAGCTGCCTACAGACAGGCACCCCATAAACGTGGTCTTTCTGGCCTCTTTGTGGAAAGTATCATGTGCAGCATTGGATACCGAGAAAGAAATGTCTGGTGTGAGGGAAGACGCAGTAAGAACTTCTTGGCTTGTTCAGTGCACCACAAATCAGAGAAATTTTTACTTATCGTGAAATCATTTGACTTCTTGTTTAGGTTAATCTATTCTGGTATACTTTCCAATCGTCTGTTTGATGCTGTTCTTAAGAAAGCCTGTTATTGCTTCTGCTATTGAGCTGAATCAGCATTAACGGAGTTTGGTTGCCATTTGACAAGCTCCAAACTGTAATTACACTGCACACAGCAGATTCTAACGGCATAATGGTATATATTCTGGGGCTTGATGTACGCGTGAACTTGTATTCGCTTCTATTAGCTTGATCCTTAGGAAATTTGTACAGTACTACTGAAGATGTCAGCCCCAAAAAGCCAGTCTAAAATAGTAGGCACGGAAGAAACGTGTCTCAGCGCTTTTCTATGAATTTAAACCTCACGGATGTTTTTTGAACTGTAACGAAGATCACTGTTTTTGGTAACCTAATAAACAATCTTTGTTAACCAAAGCTGCTTTTAAAACCAGAACTAGTTCTCTCAAGTTCATTAAGTAAATTTATGGGACCGGTGAAATTGGTCATCACAGTGAGCTTCTAGCCGTGGATGTGGCTTTTGTTTACAAAAGCTTCATCTCCAACTTTTCGTGGACAAATACTTTATGTTTTGAGTGTAAAACTTATTGCAAGACCCATTATTTATTAAGCAGTTAAGCAGTAAGCTTGGTTTTTCTCACCTCCGGATTGAAGTTCACGTACGTTCAATAATCTTTGATTTCATAAAAATGACCAGTTTTGAAGCAATCATTTAGTTTGCATTAAGTACAATACTTCTAATTCAAGAACAGATGAGAAGGTCGGGCGGCTACCAAATGCGCTTCATCCTTACGGGCCTTGCATCACGAAAGAAATAAGTAAACAACTGTTTATAAAATTAAAATAAATGAAAAGTTTGCCGGTCCTCACTGGGTTTTGAAGTTTTTTGTTACAACATTTTAAATTCACAAAATGTAGTTCTGCTATTTCAAGATAACTCGTAAAGGCGGCTTTGAGCCGTTTTTGTCAAAGTAACCGATCATTATCTACAACTAGTTGTCGGGTAATGAACTTTTATCACCAAAGACGCCTAGTCAGTCTAGGTGGCATTCTTAGCACACTGCCAGTAAAGCTCCCTTATCTGATGTGCAGAGTCCTGCAACTGGGTAATTAGACTGTACCATGGAAGTTGCTACTAATTTTGACCTGTAATTTCTAATTTGCTTCTGTTTCGTACAGAAAATGCAATTCTGGTACAGGGCGACTCGTTATCAAATATCAGCAAAAGTGGCGTCCAGGTTTTGTATGCCGACGGTTGGAAGTCTGTTGTAACGGAGGTGGAATCTTCGCACTTAAAACAAGATCAAATGATAACCTGGAATAACGCACAAACACTTGCATCATATTTGGGTACTCGCTCAGATTCAAAACACAAGATGCTGTTTCAAATTGGCCCTTTAGGGCTAGCCACAGTTCTCGTTGTTGTGCTTGTTGTATGCGCTCTTTTGTCATGGATATTATCCAAAAGAGGATCTCGTTCAACCGGCAAAACGGCCAAAATACGTCATATATTTACTCCACCAAATCTACCTATCAGAAACAATCCATGTGTTTTCGGTTCTCATCCAACTGATTTGTTGGCAAGTCATCGGATAAAGAAGTTCTATTCTGGAAACCATATGATTAAAGTTGAACAGTGCTACTCGGCAAACCATAAAATCTTCGATTCAAAATCGCCAAAAGCAAACCCTGAGGAGCATTCTGACATGTTATCACATTGTGAAGCGCAACAAGGTGAGAGTAAAAACAAAAAAGTATTGCGGTCAGTGACATCAGTGACAGTCAAGCGGGAAAAAGAGCACAAAATATCACTCAGCTCTGCGAAAAGGGTACAGAAATCACCCGGACTATCAGCCTTTTGTCTCCAGTATACACACGCATCAAAACAATCTAAACAATTCCAACAACCATTTTGCGCCAAAATTTATGGAACGATAAGTCCTAGCAACATCAATCATCAGGCAAGTTAAATTTTACTCGTTTTGTTATGTTAGCGTATATAAATAAATTCGCCCGGTGGCTAGAATGTGGCCTTTTCACCATGGAATCAAAACATTGAATTTTTAATACTCACCGGATCGGTCCAAATCGGGGCGCTAATCGGTCTTCCGAGCTTTAATAAGAAATTGAAAAACTGCTATTAAGTTGGCATCATTTGTGGCAAACAAGAGATGATGGAGGAATTATATGGTCGGTTTCTGAGAATGGCAACCTTTTGCTGTTAGTGAGACCCATCAATAATGTTACAAGGAGTCAATCACTTTATTCCTTAGTATGCTTTTACACACCGCCGACGTGAACGTCATGCGTCTGAAGACTGAAAAATTTATTTGAGATGAGTATAGAATTGTGAGCTGTCTGAATAAGGGAAAAACACAGTTCAAATCATCTGCTTAGTCTCTGGTGACTGTCCACTGTTTAGTAACAACCTCATGGCTATCCAAGGATGATGGATTTGCTCAAATTAGTAAACACCCGCCCGACAGAAAACAAATTATTTCGATGAGCTACGCTAATGCAAACCAAAGTCACGTGGTTCTAGGGTAGAGGGATCATGTCACCCCACTCCCACTGAATGATAAACTAGAGCATTAAATGAACCATTTCAGATCGGCTTGCGTCATAAGAACACAGATGGAGAATAACACAAAGGGTGCGAAGATTATTTGCTCATATATATATATATACATATATATATATATATATATAT